AAGACTTAATTCTTATTTGATAGTTTCATTTCCCTGTTTGTTTGTTTTTTCTTGTAATATGACAGCTTTATTCTGTAATATATCTGCTCAGGTGTTGAAATATTGCTGCACATCTCCAAGAACAATAGAAGTGCTCTTCAACGCATACGACCGCCTCAAAATCACTGAAGCCTGGGTAGAATCTGTACCTCCTGAGGTGTTTCAGGTCAGACGATGTCAAGCTTTTGACTTTTTTCTTAAATATAATGTAATAAATATTTAAATAAACGCTAAAAAGCAAGTTTTATTCAAATAAAAATCACCTAAAGAATTCAAAATATTCTTCTCACTGTACCACATAATATATATTAAGTATATTGTTTTCGCACAGAAACACCGGGAATTCTACGAATCCCTGTTTGCACTGATGCAGACTCCTCGATCTCTACAGCATCTGGCTCGTCACAGACTCCGAACATTTCTGGAAGGTCGCTTGCACAACGTGATCCCTAAACTGGGTCTACCAACCTTTCTTAAAAATTACCTAATGCTGGCATTCAGAGACTATATGCACTGACAGAGACCACAAACCTGAGACCCTGTACAACATACAGTACAGTATAAGCATGCAGTGATTGAGTTTTGTACTATAAAGTCATTGAGTTTTGTTTTATTCTGTGTGATTCTGAATGATTTGTGTTGGAAAACTGTCCTGTCTTTACCGAAGATGAATGATACAATGTTTGAAGTTTTTTTTCCAAGTTGGAAGTAAATTCCCATTTTCCGAATTGAATGGAATGCAGCATGAAACCTAGAGAAAGAGTCCAGTGATGACTGGTAAACTGGATGTAGATGTCAGTGTATAGACAATTTAAAGAATGAAATAGATTTGTGTATGAACACTGCTGGTAACAGCAAAAACATTCAAGTTCACCCAGAAATTAAAATGTTCATCATTTACTCACTTTCATGCCATTTCCAAACCATGTACGACTTACATTCTTCTGTGGAACACAAAATAATATATTTGAAATGTATAAATAAATGTATAAAAATGTTTAAAAAATAATATTTTTGTGTCTATACAATGAATCAATGTTGTTTGCTCCCTATATTGACTCCCAAAATATCTACTTTTATGTTCCACATAAGAAAGAAAGTCATGGAATGACATGAGAGTGATTAAATTATGAAATATATCTTTTAAGAACAAGTTGAATTGGAAACTAACCTTTCTGCCATTTGTAAGGAACGAACCCACATCTCAAGAAGATCTGACAGATTTGTGTTGGAAAACTGCCCTGTCTTTACCGAAGATGAATGATACAATCAGGTGGCAATTTTATAGGGAATCAATAAATGGAGGTGATGCTTATAATGCCAATCTGTGAGTGAGATTTTTAATGTAAAATGTGTTTTATTATTACTGAAATCTATCATAATGTATTTGGAAAGAGGATAAAAGGATGTTTATGAAGAATAAAACAGGAGGAAGATGCAGAAGGTCTGTATATAAAGTTCATATAGCCTATCCAGTCAGTGCAACACACATTCATTATTGCATTAACCACCACACCGGGGCGCCATGGAGCTCAAGTGGAATCTGAATTCCTATTGAAAGATATGATTCCACGCAAAATTGAATGGAAAATATTTAAAAGTAACATCCCGAATGATTTAATGTTTTCATTTTCTTGTAAAATAAAATGTTTAAAATTTATTTTTACTGATGTAACAAATTAATTGTAGCTAATTTACTTAAGAATCAATATATGAACTACATTCAAATCATACTGATTAGTGGGTCAGCTACAAATGCATTTAAGTATTTTTCAGTAAATATGTTCAAACACTGATCTAAATTATATAAAAAGCATTCTTCAGGAAGGCAAGGTTCGATTATTCTATTGTATTTTATCAAATTGTCCATTTTTAAGTGCTTGGTTTGATTGATTTGCTTGTCTACACTGAGGTTTTCCTTACAATTTCCCATTATCCTTTTTTACGTCATATTTTATATTAACAGAGGACAAAAGAAAACTTGCTGAAACATTACAATTCAGTGATTTGACATTCATATTCAACATGTTTAAGGTCATGAGGGGTTTGTCTCTGTCAATGAATGCTGATTTAGATGTAGAAGACAATTTAGATCATGAACATGATTTATATGGATTATTATGAAAACTACTGATTACATTATTTTCAAAATGTTAAGCTCCACAAGTATGCATCACGTCCATTTTTGTTACAGGCCATTATCAAGTCTGAGAGAGGAGAGACATCCTCTAGCCACTCGGAGATATGTGGACATATTATGTGATTATGATTATGTTATGAAGAAGCATGCACTTGAATGGTAACCAGAAGTAAATGCGGAGCACAGAATGATGGGGTACAATGTGAGGGCCTCATGTGTTTAATGATCCGGTCATCTTGACCCATTAAAAAACACTAATACCAACAATGCAATGAACATGAGTAAAAGGATTTACCAGAACAATTATGAATAATAATAATTTTGGTTGAATTTTATTAACATGTTTATTAATAATGATGCTTATTATTATTATCAGATTGGATGCTGGTGAAGTGCACTTTTGATAATTTACTGCTTTTTTTAAAATATGATTCAAATGTCAACTTTATGCATATTCTGACCTGGTGTCCTACTTTACCTGTATTATCCTCACACACAGATCACTGCAATCATAGCTCATTTTAGCAATAAAAAATGTTTTCCTCTATTATGCTGCACTATTTGGATATAAAGTTATTAATTGCGCGTCAAAGATAAAGCCTTGGTTTGTGATTTCTGTCTTCATGTGTAGTAGTACATGTTGCGAAGAACAAAGGTGCAAAGCAATTGTCTACGAGCAGATCTTTGATAGAAGTCTCATATACGATGACCAGGAGGAGGGGGGCTCTGATTGTATCCCATTCAGTAGCGTGAGAGAGAGAGAGAGAGAGAGAGAGAGAGAGAACGCTGTCTGGTTTAAATAGATCAAAGAGCACCGCTCCTGAATGGAGTCATTTGCAATTATAAGAATAATTAGCATCTGTGGGTCCTCCATCGCTAATCAGAGTCGGAGGTGATGTGTTTATGTCCTCGCGCAATCAGACGGCCAGTTGGAGAGCTCGCGCCCCGCAGGACTCAATAGCGCCTAATCATCATCAGAAGTGAATTGGCATTTAAACGGTAAAATGATCTCCGATTAAATTAATGCTTAGCGGGGAAAGAGAAACCGCATAGAGGGTACAATTGTAGACCCCTTTTTTGTTTTTTCTTTTATTATTTTTCTTCTAAAATCGAAATTATATTCTCAACTATTAAAGGAAAGTATGGTTACTTTTTCTCTTAAAGTCTTAAGTCCTTCTTAATTTTCTGTGTAGGCTACTTAACATCTTGTCAAATTATCTGTGTCATTTTCCACCAAGGATCTTTCCTCTTAATATCTGAAGCTCTTTTTTTGTCTGGATCTTTAAAAATACATTAAAATGGATTTCATACAATGACTTGAACATCTGTTATGATTAACACGTTTTCAATTGATGAACTGCAGTCATTTTGGTACGGTTCAGAGTTTGAAAAAAAGAAAAATGTCTCTTTAAAAGGCTGAATTACTTGAACCACCATACATTTCTGTCAGTAATTTACTGGATGTAATCTGTTGACAACGTTTCACGGATTTAATCGGTCTTTTTCGCCGCCCTAACATGACGTAAGCCATCTAAACAAAACTTTTTTTGTTATATACTTTCAATATATAGCCAAAATATTGAACAAAGTGATACAAAATGACAGTTGCCTACTTGTTTTGTCGAAGTTCAGCCTGGGTCGTAACGGAAAGCGCTCGCGCTGCCTGCTGTTGCTATGGTTACCCCCTCAGGCGAACGCAATCGCGATTCTATTCGCGAGCGTAGGTGGCGTATACATTTAGCGAATTTACTGAACTTCTGTGGTGACGCATTTGAAAGGTATACAATTCACATTTCCACACAAATGTATAGGCTATTTTACATTTCACATTGAAATGTAAAATATTTCCCCCCCGTTTGTTTTGACTGACTTTAGGGAGGTTCAAAGTGTAATTAGGAGGGTCAGGCCCTCCCAAAATTCGCACCATATTCGTGACTAAAAATTCATGATATGTAAAAAAATGACATTTTGACAAAAATGTAGAAAGTTTTATAAACTTTATAAACTAAATATATATATATATTTTTTTTAAAGGGTGAAACTAATAGCCTAGCTAGCCTATATAAAAATTGCTTTTCTAAGATCTTGATGTTTCTTCAACTAAATTGAAATATTTCTTATTTTTATCATCTAGAAAACCCATCTATAAACAGATGTAGATATTTATAGCCATATTTTGTAATTCCCCCCAATTTTATCAGTAAGAGTTCACACAGATCTCTACATTCAAAAGTCATTTAATCAGTGAAATCTCTCTCTTGGGGATAATTGTCGGCCAGATTCACTCTTTCTCCCAACAGAATAGAAAAGACTCTCTCTCACAAGAGGGCCGAAACATCTGCCTCTCCGCCCTCACGACTCCGATGCCATCGGCCTCTGAAAGAATCAACAAAAGAACCGTTGTTATATATCTTCCCTTGAATACAAAGTAATTACTTATCATCAATCAAAATTAATAATAGTTGATTGGGTTGGTGTGGTCAGCGCAGTCCCCTCACATTCGCTTTCCAGAGGAGGGGACTTGACCCACTGGGAAACTACCCCCCCCTCTCTCTAGGCGGCCTAAAAAGTCAGGGACTGAATAAGGAAATGAAGCGTAATTTGAGGAAGATGGATGAGTCTCCAGGGCAACTCCCCCTTCTATCCTCTTGTATTGATGATAACCGAGAGAAAGTGAGAGAGAGAGAGCGAGCGCGAGAGTGAGAGAGAGAGGGCTGTGCCTGTGTGTGTTTATGTCTCAGTATGTGACAAACAGTAGCTGAGACACTGAGAGCTCCAGACAAAAAACGCATCAGGTCTCAGTCAGTTGGACGGCGAGGACCCTACAGCACCATCAGGATAACCGTGGACCACATTTGGGTGATTTGTCTCAGAAGGCCACTGCACGGGATTTATACGACCAGACCGCACTCAGTTCACCATGCAGAGACCGAGCGGTCCAGGCACGGCGTTTTCCATTGATTCTTTGATTGGCACTCCACAGCCCCGGCCGGGCCACCTGCTCTACACGGGCTACCCGATGTTTATGCCGTACCGACCGTTTATGATTCCACAAGCCCTGTCTCATTCGTCATTACCGTCGGGCATCCCTCCCTTGGCACCGCTGGCATCGTTCGCGGGGCGCTTGACGAACACTTTTTGCGCGGGGCTGGGGCAGGGGATGCCCTCCATGGTGGCGCTCACCACCACCCTGCCCAGTTTCTCGGACCCTCCAGATAGTTTCTATGCCCCGCAGGAGATGCCGGGACCACGGTTAGGCGCGGACGGGACGGGGATGAACCGGCAGGAGAGCCCGCATGACGAACTCAAGGGCTCTGAACTCCTCAATTTCACGGAAACTTTTCAGGCGGTTGCAGGTGAGCACCGGACACGAACTCTCACTTTGACAGGTGGTTTGATTACGAGCGCAAAAAGTTCGAACGGCCTTTAATTATTCAAAATAAAAGTTCTGTTTAGAACCCAAAGGGTTTTACAGGCTGATGCCGAAAGTTCCACAACAAACCTTTATTCTCTAGTTCTTTAGGAAACTGCTACTGTTGAGTTAGATATAAACCCATAAACCAATATGCTAACTTTTAATGTAAATGTAAAACGAACATTTTATAAAAATGTTTCTTGATAAGAATGATGCGCTTTTGGTGAACATAATGTGCCGCAAAAATTCATTCAACAACATTTTTCTAACTATGTGGAACTCCATAAAAACTTTATGCATGAACTTTAAGATTGTTGTAGCCTACATTCAGTAAGAAATGTCATGAAACTTGAAAGTTAAGAATAGTAAAAAAAAATAAAAAAAAATAGTCGTTTTGTGTGCTGGAATAACAATGCATTTTATCATCTGTCATTGTTCTTATGGAGTTCATAGAATTATCGAAAGACAAATGAACACATCTGATCTTGAAAACTTCTATTGTCATTTGATTTGCATTCAGGTGGCACAGGCCTTCACTCCTGCCACTGGAGAGTTTCGAAACAATGCTAAAAAAAAAACGATTTGGGGTTTAAGAATACTATTTGGTGATATTTCTAAATAATTTCAGCAGAATTAGATATTTTAAAGTTGAAAATAGAGCAGACTGAATCACAAAGCAAACGATATAAACAAAAGCAATTATTCTGTAGTTTCAGCGAAGTGTTTTATTATTTCATAACTATTATAAATTATAAAAAATATATTTTCCCCATCGGACCTGCTACAATATTGTCATTTCTACTAGAGCTTTCGAGTTTAAACACCTTTAAAAAAAACACACAAAAAAACATTCGCCATCGAAAATGTGCAATGAACTTGCAGGTTGACACTTTAAATGTACTTTACAGTTATAAATGTAAAAGTCAGTTTTAGAATTGAATATGTAGACTAGTAGAATAAAAACGCTTCAGTTACGCTCCTGTTGGATTTTATTAGTCTATGTTTTAGGATATTTATGAAATAATGTCTAGGCCTATAGAATCAAGCAGAAAGCAAACGATAAATAATTAATGTTCTAGCGCACTTTAACATTTTTTTTATCTTGTTAGAGAATTTGACGATTGATTCCTAGTCTAGGCTATATCAATTCGATTTTTTATATATATAGCCCAATTAATTCGAGGTTGTCAAAAAGGACTTTTCACTGCAGTTCGTCACCAATTATAATGTTGCTATTAGTTAAACTTCCATTTTAGAGGGTCGAAATGTTTCACATAAATCCTACATTTGTCTTTTGAACTGCCCAAATCTGTGTGGGATATTTGTAATGATTAATGCCTTCATTTTCATTCTCTTCAGGCGAAACCAAACTCTACAGTTCAGATGATGAGAAACTGGACCTGAAATCAGCGGAGGCAGCGTGCAGTGACAGGGAGGACAGTTCAGCCGACAGCGAGAACGAGAGCTTCTCCGACGGGAACACCTGCGCTTCAGCGTCCCAGAAAAGCAAACTCAAAGGCGGCTCACAGGACGCGTTACCGCCGGGCGGCTCGGCGGGAAAGAGCCGGAGGAGGCGGACTGCTTTCACTAGCGAACAGCTGCTGGAACTCGAGAAGGAGTTTCACTGTAAGAAGTATCTGTCCCTCACCGAGCGCTCTCAGATCGCGCACGCACTCAAACTCAGCGAGGTCCAGGTCAAAATCTGGTTCCAGAACCGCAGGGCCAAATGGAAACGGATCAAAGCCGGCAACGTCAACAACAGATCCGGGGAGCCCATCAGGAACCCCAAAATCGTGGTGCCCATTCCCGTGCACGTCAACAGGTTCGCGGTGCGGAGTCAACATCAACAGATCGAACCGGGCAGCAGGCCATGAACTCCTCAATGAAAATGACCCTGAACTCCTCAAACGAACATTTACATGACCCACGTTCCCACAGGTCAGGGGTCACACGCTACAGATGCATGAAGCACAGACCATTCCAGCATCTAGAATGATATTCAGTGACTTTTAGGTAACACTTTGTCGACTTTCATCAATTCAAAACACGAGGCCTATTCAGTGCTTAACGGGTCATTGGTTTATATATAGGCTAGCCTACATTCAATTCTGAATAGCCAATATGAATCAAAGTCTATGATATTTGAACGTAGGCTAACACATGACCTGTTAAGCATTTGATATTTTTTGAAAGTTATTATAAGGTGTTACCGACTTTTATATCTGTTCAATATCGACATTACGTTCAGGTTTGTTCTTTTCCTTCTCTCCCCTAAAATGTCTTTATTTTTAATTTATTACTTTGTACATTTGTAAATATTAAATGTGTCCATGCGACACAAATGTGCACTATACGAGACTGTAAAGATAATTTTTTTTTAAAAATAAGTATTTATAAGTTGCTGTCTAGTGAGTTTTTGCATGTTGCCATTTGTCTAATTTTCCCGTATGATTTTAACGGGCCGTTCTCGACCATTTTTGCATGTGATCTTAAAGCATTTCTGTCCCTTAGAGGCGGAATCTCCCCCAAGTTCTTTGTGAAAAAAAACGGTGATGGAAATAAATAAGCTCAAGAACACAATGACAGAGTGATATATTCCCATCGACGTCACAATAAATGTGCAATATGGTTGCATAAAACTGTTCAGAGAAGAAATGTGTTCTTTGCATGCATGTTGGTTCTTCTTAAATACTGTTTTAGTTTTAGTCTTCTTTGCAAACGAATTAATTAATTACTGATCATGTCATTGACTCATTGATAGATATTTTATACCAAACATTATCCTAAAGTGACTACTGGCAATTATTTATTGGCAACTATTTGATCACTTGTATTTGTTTATTTATTTATTTACTCGTTCTTAAAATAAATGTAGTAAATACAAAGTCCAATTAATAATAATTAATAATAAAATGGCCATAGTTTAGTAAACATATAAGGACATAATAAGCATACACAATTTAATTATTATATACAATTGATATATTTATAAGAATGATGCTAAAATATATATACTGTCCACTGTTGAACCTTTAAATATCAAGACATTAGAAAAAATATCAGGAAATTTTAATTTTGCTATATCTCTTTCTAGGGCATTTATTGTTTTAATGCACAGGTCACAACTTAGATCTCTATTTTCTTTTCTTCTGGTTGAAATAGTTGTGGATCTTTTAAAGGTGTCTTAGCTCTTCTTTACATCCAGCAGATTTACTTTATTTGATGCATTTTGAGCAGGTAATAGAGCACATCTGTCATCACCGTCAAGAGACCATGGGGTAAAATAGTTATCCTTCTGTTAAAACTGAACATAGATTTATTTTATTTTATTTCGCAGAAAGTGGAAGCATTGTGAAGCTTGAGCCTTCCACATCTCTTCTCTTTAAATGAGCATTATTGGTCTGAATCATTTCTTTTGGCCTCCTTAAAAAATTTTTAAAAAAAAAGACCAAACATGCATTATCTGCAGTCTATATTTTCATTCAACATAAACTTCTGCAGATATTAAATTTTTATGACTTTGACATGAAACATTAACCGTTTAGCCTTGACACAAAATGCATTTGATTCGGTTAAAAACATTATTTATCATGTTAAATGAGACTATATAGCCACATGAGGAAAATACATAAGAAAGATTCACAGTTTGCATGACAACCTTCATGCTCCAATATATTTTTCAAAAATGTATTCAATGCATTTAATGTGCATGTCTGTACTTAGCTTATTTGCTCCATAACTGTGACTTAAAAATCTCACCGTTCTCTTATTACCTGAAAAGTATGGCCTACTTGTATAATTAGAGAGGAATTTGAAAGAGACAATGAATATGAAAGCACACTTTTACAAACATACAATAATTGAGAAAGACTGACATTGACCCAAAGCAGCAGACAACAATCATTAGAGTCTATGATGACCAGTGCAGGTCATCTAAAGAGAGAGAGAGAAAGAGACAGTGTGTGTGTGTGTGTGTGTGTGAGAGAAAGAGAGAGAGAGGTTTTTTGTTAATGAGCACGGGACTCATTTGTCTCTCTTTGGGAGGCCGTGCTGTCTCAGATGAGAGTGATGGAGCTCTATTACACTGGTCATATCCAACACACTGTAATGAACTTCAACATCAATCATTACAGGAGAGAGCAAAAGACCACGCTGGGTCTCTCTCTCTCTCCGTTCCAGGGTTGAGTCTCATTCAGTCACTACAGTCTGTTCACAGACTACATCAACATACACAGTGATGCTGAAACACAGCTTTGCATCAAGGTAAACTATTTACATTTATGAATTTAGCAGATGTGTTTATCCAAAGCGACTTACACTGATTCAAGATAAACATTTTATCAGCTCATGTGTTTCCTGGGAATCAAACCCATGACCTTGGCGTTGCGAGTTTGAGCTACAGAAATGTCATGTAAAATATATGTACAGGAGTATAATATGAAAACTAAACAGCATGAATGATAACACACATTCATAGTACATTTGATATATTTCAATTTAATTCACAAAAGTTCCGTTCCACTGTTTTAACGTTTCTTAAATGCATATATTAAATGTAGTTAAACTAAGTGTTACATTTATAGAAAGTAGTGTTTAACTAAATCAACAATTAACATAAATCTTTATCAAAAGTTTCATTAAATGTTATTTTTATTTATTCAAATGTTAATTACTTATGTCGTGAAATAACAGGATATATGATGTGTGATGCATGAAATAACCAGAAACCTGGGCTAGAAATAGTGATAATGCAGGTGATAATGCAAATGTTTGTGGTCATATAGCAGCACATTTTGCCATAATTAAGCTGCCTTTTACTAATGTAAATATGCAAATGGAGACAACAATTGCTGGAACAGAATGTCTTTGATATTAACATGAACTACTTTTACCCAGTTTAAGCTGGTCCCACAGCCTCACTGGTAGCAAAAACAAAAACATTAAAACCATTTCAAACCACCAGGGGAGACTAGCTAAGACCAGCAAATGAGTTTAGGCTGGTTTTCTAAGCAGAAATCTAGTCATAGGCCACATACACACTGGAAAGTTTTAAGAATGATAACAGCATTTCAATCTAAATCACTGTTCTGTGTGTGAACGGAAAACAGGAGTCACACCTGCAAACTGGTTGGTGATTGACACAGTGGTAACCATGGCAGCAGGTTGTCCTCTCATCAGGGGCGCAACAATTCTTGACGACTTCTGACCAAAGTATTATTAGTAACCAGAGACATTATCATCTAGTAATTCTTATTTTTTTTAAATCGCCATTCTTTATGCAGTTCTCTGGAGTGTCATGTAGAAAGAAACAGGACTGACAACAACCATATTCTGCTGCTGTGTGTACATGACAGGATCACATTTATGCATTAGTTACACGCATTTATCTCATGATTCTGGCATATGCTCTGCTGTTTGAGCTATACAGGAATTAGGCACGACCAGTGTGGCCATATAACTGGAAGCTGCTTAGAAACAGCAACAGGATGCCAAGTGTAACGTACCATGATGTATGACACACCAGCAACTGTTTTCTCTCATAAGTGCTAATAGGCAGAACGAAAGCGACACTGAGCCATGAATCCACACCCTCCATAAAACTGCACCTTGGCCTTCTGAAAAACCTGTTGCAGAGCTCATGTCTTCACATTTAGATCGAACTGTTTTTATTTGATGAAACGAGCTCACTTAAAGTGCGAAACACAATTCCCCAAAACAATCCCATAAATTACGCTCGCAGAAAACAATCTCATAAACTAATGAGGAATCTCTGAACTTTCTTGACTTGTGTTGTCAGCATGCCGCTCTGACACGAGTGTGCGAGTTAATTGCTTCAGCCTCCAGTAACCGCTAGTGGTAAATGCCTATGAGCTGTTGCATTTACATATCCCCTCATTTAGAGACTCTGCTAATTAGCATTCTCATTATGCCAATTATACTAGTTTTAATTATTATAGCACCGCCACTAAAAAAAAAAAATTATATATGAATCGCAAACCAAATAGCCTACAGAGAAATTCCACAAGGTGCTGTTCCGAGGATGCGGTGATGGGAGTACCAGCACAGCTTGTCAAGAGCGGAACACTCTCATTATGACAATCAGATTAATTGTTTAATTGATATCCGAGCATTTGTTTCATTAACGGATCGTTAGGAAGCGCGAGGTACCGGCTATTCCCGTTCCTCGGCGGAAGCGGCCGAGTCTTGGAAGAGGAGGGACGGGAAACGCGAGGCCTGAATCCTGGGGAGTGTCTGGTGGACGCCCACGCCGCTGATGTATGGGCAGATGCATCAAATCACACAGGATAAACAAGCGATGAATTTCATCAGTGCCATCATAGCCTTAATTTGGCTGCCTAATGAGTCAGAGCTAGTGGCGGAGATAAAAGTTGTCAGAGGCGCGGCTCTAATGAATTTCTTGCCACTTGTAATCAAGGTTGGCTGTCTGAGGGGCCATGATTAATGGAACCCTGGAGGATTCCCTCGGCCTTCAGCTCTCATTACAGCTAATGCATTCTCAGGCAAATTAACGCACTGAGAAGAGCGAGCGAGCGAGAGAGAGACGCGGAGAATCCAAACGAGGACGGGAAAGAAAGAACAAGGGATAAACGCAAGATTGAGAGAATGCGAGGAAAGAAAACATCAAATGACAATTAAACAGCATATGAAAGCAAAATGGACTTTTTCGGGCTTTTAGTCCATGTCTGGAAGCTTTAAGCGGAGCATCTATATGCTAATATGTAACCAAAACGAGTTTTAAGCACAAATACGCATTTAAAATCTTCCAGGAAAAATACAGATGGCTTCATTTTGTTTACGTCACTCACAACCATGCAGGTGGCACTGAACTAAGGCCTGAAATAAGGTCTGTAGTTAACACAGGCTTTTAGTCTATGATATTACATATGTAATAAGTGGCTAAATGATCAAGGCGGCAAAAAGGTAAACTCATCTACTCACTAGCCAATTTTTACTTGTTAAAAAATACTAAAGGATTCCAATAAGAAACGTGTACAGGATTCTAATTCATTTCTATCATATTTTGGAACCATTAAGATTCCTGTAGGACTTTCTGTTACAAAGGGGTTTGTTCTTATTCTGTTAATTTTCTTTGCAGCAGCTTGTTTACCAAGACAATATACATAAAAAAAAAAATCTCACAGGAATCTCAAGTCCAATAAGAATCTCATTGGTATGGTTTCAAACTATGATAGAAATTCTAATTAGAACTATTTTCTTATTGGAATCCATCAGGATTTTTTTGACAAGCTTTTGCAAACTATTCTAACTCCAACTTTTTTTTTTTTAATTTTAAAGAAATTTAGTTGTGATGTTAAGCCTAACTTTAGATTTGTATTTGGCAATTGCATTTAGGCTTCAAAATTCATACAAGTTGGTTTCATTTGTGAAAAGTGTCATGATGAACAAGATGTGTAAGAATCATAACATTTTATTGGAAAATGTTTTTTTTTTTTTAAGGTAACCTGGGTTGGCCTACAAAACTACGTCATCACTGCAGAGCTCCATACAAGTAAAAGATGATGCTATTAATATTTTGATCTGGTTTCCTATAAGGAATGCTAGTGTACTTCTTGTGATCGGACAAAATACGAACACAATATATACAAAACATACTATTTAAAAGCTAATTAGTCAGTTTTTAGGACTACACTAGATATTGATGACCTATATGAACTAAAAGCTAAAAGTTTCCATCAACTTTTCATGAAAATATATATAAAAAAAAGATATATTCTGATTTTCCATGATCATGTGTCGAGTTGAGAAAACACACAATAAAGCTTGAAGACATTTTGACAGTCTTAAGCACACATTTTCATATGATCAAGGAATGAATGACAAACTTTCTCAGCATTCATGGTATAAATCATTTTATTGGAGTGTTTATTATGTCAATAGCCAGCCAAGCATCCAATCACACAACAGCTAACTCTCATGAAAGCGCTCCATCACGTTCAGAAGGAGCAATTAAAAAACAATGGCAAATTAAAAGAAACAACAAAGTTATCAAACAGCTCAATAAAAGCAACAACAAAAGGAATTATTTACATCTTGCTTTTATAAATATGTCAAATGTACATATAATACACAAAGTACCTTAACGGCCAGACAATGCTGACACATTGAGACCCAAAACCAGGTACCAAAAAAACTTTAAAACTAAACGGTGCTTCTCTCTGCTATACGGCTACTTGAGGAGCTTTATGGGTGCATCCCAGCATTCAATAAGCCGGCAGTCGCAGGGATGACAGGCGAGTGTTTAATATTCAACTGCATTTTCAACTGCTATATTCCCAAAAGCTCATCTTAGCAACCTCATGTAATACACAGGAGCCCAAACTTAATGTATATTTTTTAAAAATTATACATGTTCACTTTATGAAGATCAAGAGGGTAACTTTCCATGCATGTCATTGGGAATGAGCCTCCAGAATTAAAACGGGTTTAAAAAGATGTTAAAAGCCGTTGGATTTAAAATCAATGGCAATTCTCCTAAAGCTTAGTTAGATCATCTTGCTTTTATAAATATGTCAAATGTACATATAATACACAAAGTACCTTAACGGCCAGACAATGCTGACACATTGAGACCCAAAACCAGGTACCAAAAAAACTTTAAAACTAAACGGTGCTTCTCTCTGCTATACGGCTACTTGAGGAGCTTTATGGGTGCATCCCAGCATTCAATAAGCCGGCAGTCGCAGGGATGACAGGCGAGTGTTTAATATTCAACTGCATTTTCAACTGCTATATTCCCAAAAGCTCATCTTAGCAACCTCATGTAATACACAGGAGCCCAAACTTAATGTATATTTTTTAAAAATTATACATGTTCACTTTATGAAGATCAAGAGGGTAACTTTCCATGCATGTCATTGGGAATGAGCCTCCAGAATTAAAACGGGTTTAAAAAGATGTTAAAAGCCGTTGGATTTAAAATCAATGGCAATTCTCCTAAAGCTTAGTTAGATGAGGGTTGCATGTACAAATCTGACTCGAATAAGAAAGAAAACATACCTGCTAGAAGGTAAAACACCTAAAAAACATGTAAACTTAAAATACTGTCAGGTAAGGACATCTTCCTCTCGCTTTCCCTTTAACTCACATGTGCCAAATATTAAGTTCTAATCATGATTTCATATTTCAAGTAAAAGTTGATGGCGTACACACTAGCAAACGAGGGTTAAGGCTGATAGGTTTCAGATGGGTACATAACGGCCATCTCATCCAGAAATTGCCCACACGACACACAGCTAGCTGCAAGAGGGAGCAGGAAAAGCTATTTTATACACACATCTGTACATAATCCACATCACCATCCCATCCGTCCCATTCAGTTAGAAACACACGTCTGGATTCTAATGGATACAAAAACAGCCACACCGTCACAAGTGTGGAGGTCATTAGACTCGTAACAAAGGAGTTGACGGCGAGAACGTCTTATTTCGTAATCTAGTGTGTCGGTACCGTCCGCTGCTACTGAATGGATCTGTCATTAGGCAGGACAGTGTCAAACAGTTAGAAGACCACTTCAGAGCGGTCCAGAAATGATTCGCACAAGGCATCCGTAATAACACAGTATTCGTCAGGTAATCAGGCCTTTCCAAGACAATCACGGAGAGGCTAAATGTAAAATAGCAATGAGTGTGATGATTTGGGTTTTGATATATTGCACTGATGCTACAAATGGTAATGCGTTACCCAGCAGCCTTAGTGTTTTTGAGCTTCGTTCAAGGGCACAATGGTGGTATTTACCTATTAAAAGTGTGAAGTTTGAGTGAAAAATGCACTTAAATGTATGATTTTTAGCATTAATCTGAAAAAAAAATCACATGATTAAGTTGAATTTAATGAAGCATTTAGATCTTTGTGTGAAACTCACAAAAACATGTCCAGGTCACCCGAAAATTAAAAAACGAGAACATATATTTAGCATTAAAAAATTAAGGACCATTGAGATTTTTTGCATTGCGAATTCCCCCCCCACCCCCACCCCACATTTTTTTCCACCAAAATTTTTAATTTTTAAAATGCATCTGGATATTTTTTAATTCATATTTTACTGTTTATTCTGTCAATATTATTCTTATTATTGTAATACAGTATTTTGTAGTGATTAAAAAATAAAAATATTTTACACTCAATTAAACCTTAAAATTAAAGTAGTAAATATTTTTTCTTTAGATTTTAGGGTGAAGTACGCAGACGTGTTCTTTACAGGTTTCACCAAAATCACTGATTTAATGGGATAGTTCACACAAAAATGAAATTTCTATAATTATTTACTCCACCTCATGTCATTCTAAACCTATATGACTTTCTTTGTTCTGTGGAACATAAAATAATGTATTTTGAAGAATGTTGGTAATCAAACAGTTTCGGTTACCTCTGACTTCCATTATATCGACAAAAAATACAATGGAAGTCAATGGGAACCAAAACTCTTTGGTTACCAACATTCTTCTAAATATCTTTTTTTTGTGTGCGTGTGTGTATTCAGCAGAAGAAAGAAAGTTTGTAATGACATGAGAGACAGTAAATAACAACAATTTAATGTTCTGATGGACAAAAACGCGTGGGCGCAAAGCGGAGGATCCATTACTGTTGTCCGATTATTTTTAAACTGATGCACCTAAAAAACAAAACTTATTTTGTTTAGAACCTGTTGCCCATCATTTCATTTTTTTGTTCTATACACACACAAGAAAGGATCCTTAAAAACATCATTTTCTTCAGCTTAAAAACAACACATTGATAATGCATTGATAATGTTAACACTGCTAATTCTCGCTGCACGCTAACATTGGTCACAGGAAGTCGTCATGAGGGTAATGGCTTTACGTGACACATGTGGCACTACGCACAGTTTCCTAATAAAGACGTACTGTACTGCTGAGGGAAATGATGCCATTTAACGAGAGCAGCATCTATGGGAACACCAACATCTTTGAGAAGAGACACTAGAGACACTGCGAGCCACGATCACATGATGCTAACACTACGGTTCAGCTCGCACCGAGCGTTGTTGTTGATGTTGGGATTGTGTCGGGTGGCTGTGGGCGTCGACACTCCGCCGGCGTCGCCGGGGCAGCCGTGTTGGATGAGGATGTCGACGCACTCCTGACTTCCTGCTCGCTGGGCGTAGGACAGGGGCGTCTGAGCGCGGGCGTCGCGACTCTTCACGTCCACGCCATACTGAAACAGAGGAGGAAATGAATGATGGACGAACACTTGTGAACAAAAGGCGCTTCCAAAAAGCGAGTTCTTACCCAGATGAGCAGCTGCGTGAGGACCACGTTAGCCATGGCGCAGGACAGGTGCAGGGCGGTACGTCCGTCTCCGTCCCCGTACGTCTCGTTGACCTCTTCTTTGGTGCCGTGGGCCAGCAGGAGAACCACCAGCCTCAGGTCGTCCTCCACCACGGCCCGCAGGAGCTGCTGTCCCAGCGGCACGTCTGACTGAGGAAGCCCCACCAGGAACAGCTTCTGCTCGTACTTCGCCCGGATCCAGCGCTCCTTCTCTTCCCTGAGAATCAGGACACAAACAGAGCTCAACTTTTTATTCTTGTAAACACACGGCTTTGTTTATCAGTGGTCATCCTGATAGCTAACACCATTCCAGTGTAGTGAATCAAATCAAAACTCTGAATCAACTAAATCAATTTATAAAATCCACATTTTAGAATATTTTAGCAAAACTGTATGTAGGTAAATATTGCTGCTTAGTACTAGGTTTTGTTATATAAATTTAAATAAATTATCTATCTATAGCTATGTCTGTCTATCTATCTATCTATCTATCTATCTATCTATCATATATTTAGTATATTATTTTATATTAATTGCATATATATTTTTCTACTTTCAGAAATTTTACCAATTTTTAAAAAAACTATTTTTATGAACTAAACAATAAATATCAAGTTACACAATTAAGGCATGTTGTCCACAATTTATAAATAAATGAATAGAATAAATGTATAAAATAACAAATGTATAGGATATTTAACCATTTTCAATGATACATGTGTATATGGCTGACAATTTTAAGCTAGATATATTATTTATATTTTATATTTGCATTAAATGCTTTATAATAATAATGCTTTAAAATTTTAATGCCTTTAAAATGAGTATATAAATAAAAAATCTATAAATTTTCTTCCTTATATATATATATATATACACTGAACAAAATTATAAACGCAACGCTTTTGTTTTTGCCCCCATTTTTCATGAGCTGAACTCAAAAGATCTAAAACTTTTTCTATGTACACAAAAGGCCTATTTCTCTCAAATATTGTTCACAAATCTGTCTAAATCTGTGTTAGTGAGCACTTCTCCTTTGCCGAGATAATCCATCCACCTCACAGGTGTGGCATATCAAGATGCTATATATATATATATGTGTGTAAATGTTAATTTTATATTATATATTATATTCATCACATATATATTTTTCTATTGTTTAGTTCATTCGTTCAATGAACAAAACAATAGAAATTCATGTTACAAATAATTTTCCACAAAGGCAAGGCAAGTTTATTTATATAGCACATTTCATACACAATGGTAATTCAAAGTGCTTTACATATAAAAGGAATTAAAATAATCCTAAAAAATAATCACAACAATAAAAACAAGGCATTTAAACATTTTTAAAATTATTTAAAAATTAATTTAAAATGACAATACAGTTAGGAATAAAAAATATTGTACATAAAATACAGTGCAATCAGTTTGGATAAACTGATTACAAATAAATAGAATAAATATATAACATTAAACATTTATAGGATATTTAACAATATTCAATGATATATGTGTATAAGGCTGACAATTTTAAGCTATATATTATTTATATTTTATTTGCATTAAATGCTTTATAATAATAATGCTTTAAATAATGCAGTGTATTTAATGCCTATAATATTATAGTGTATAAATTCGCCCAGTCCTAATATCAGTCTTTCTCCTACTTTGACAATCACTGGTTAAATGTGACTTTGATACATTAGATAAACTTTGGGACTTATGAATACACGACAGTCCCTGCAGAGTCTGAATTTCTGACATAATCGTATCTTTGACTTCGAGGAAGTCCAGAGTAATTCAGTTCTGATTATGACAGAGGTCACAAGGGAAGCAGGTTAAACGTACAAATCACACATCCTCAGCCTTAACTTCCCTTAGACCGGTTTCCATCAGAATCTAGAGGGTTAAAGTCTGTCTGGCTATCGAAAGGTTACACATTGTGAACAGCATGTCTATCGTGGACAATACAGGAGTGTGTGCGTTGGGAGGATGCCGCGTTTTTTATCGCCGCTGTCAGTGTTGTCAGTCCTGCCCGGTGAATCCCCACAAAGGAGGCCCTCTCAACACTGGCCCCTCAACCCTCTAGGGGGCCGCCGGCAGCCCGCCAGATCGAAGACCCAAAGAAAAAGGCTGAAAGAGACACACTCGGACCAGAGAATGGAGTCCAACTCTTCAGCGCGCACCAGACTTCTATCTATCCCTCTCTATCACCCGGCCGCCCCCTCTCCTCTCTTCTGCTGGCATTCACGGCGATGGCGAGGGGCACGGTGCTAAATTAAAATCGATACGAGCGGATCTGAGCATGCTCGGTGGCGGTCTGACCCGCTGACCCCGCGCGGCGGGTGATAAGAGGAGCAGAAAGGAGCTGTTGTTTGCCTCGCCGGGGTGAGTGACACAGAAGAGACTGAGTGAGAGAGAGCTGATGGAGGTAAAGAGAGTCTGGAGAGATTCCCCCGAGACGACACGGAACCAGAACCACAGCGCTAATGTTGATGGCAACAAACCAACAAGATGATAGAGAGAAATGACAGAAATAATGACAGCTACAGTGTAGATGAGAATGGAGTGGCTAGTATTGAATTATTCTTAATGAAATATACACTTGTAAGTCTACATACTGTATAGTCATCATCACTGTACTAATATTCTTCATACACTCTAAAAAATGCTGGGTTAAAAAGGGACAAACCCAGCGGTTGGGTTGTTTTGACTCAAAACAACCCAACTGCTGAGTCAAAACAACCCAATAGCTGGGTTTGTCCCTTTTTAACCCAGCATTTTTTAGAGTGTACATTTAAATTTTCATAATTACAAAGTTGAGTGACTAATTAGTAATTAATTGAGTAAAAGAAAAAAAGAACACACACAGCTGGAAATTAAATAAATTTTACTAATTTAATAATTAAGTATTTAATATTTTAATATGATTTAATAATATTAACAAACATGTAATATTTAGCCAAATACAATTTATATTTTTATATTTGCATTAAAAGCACATACAGTATATGTGAACTTACATAATTGCATAAAATCTTACATAAATTATTATAATAAATATATGCTAGATGCTAGAAATTCAATAAAATGTATATTTCCATTAAATGCATTAAAAATGTATATATATATATATATATTAATGCAATGTATGTTTTAATGCAATGTATGTTTTAATGCAATGTAATGTTTATATAAGAATAACAATAACAATATACAAATAACATGACATAATATCTAAGTGACATAATATCTAATATATTATCACATTATTACATAAAATATTACATAAAAGTATACAATTGCTCCAAATAACTTTTTATAAAAGCTGAAAATGTAATATAAATATTTTATATTACATATAAAAACATAAAACATATATCTGAAATACTTCTGTTTTTCTATTTGCATTTTATATATAATTTAATGCATTTAATTCATATAATATCTAAAATATAAATATAATATCACATTATTATACAAAATCTTACAAAGAATTTTAATTACTCTGCAACTTTGTTCGGTAGATAATTTCAGTCTCAGCTGCTATTCACGTCAGGTTTTTGTAAACTATAGACATTAAATTTAAGATTAAAATTAGTGCCTTAATGTTAGTCATTGCTAATTTACATACTGATGTTTTTTTTTCTTTCATAATTGAATAATCTATATCTACCTTAATGCTGCAAAGACAATGTTTTATGGCAGTTCTGCATAAGAATCAACACAAAAAGCAGCAAAACAAGTGCTGAGAGTATTTTATTTATGTAAAGCCAAAGACTAAAACTTACATTTAAATGGAAGCAGCAGTGATTGGCGGTATGACGGGAGTGTAAATGAAGCCACGCCCCTTTATTATCCTCAAACAACACACTTCCTCTGATGGGGGACGAACTCGTACGTCTCAACCACACTCACTAGCATTTCATCCCAAAAAGCAAAAGAAATCTGAAGGACAGAGGAGGAAAAGCTTACGTTTGACACCCCATCATCATGTCAACAAGCTCCACTCACATTTCCATCAAAAAACGCACAAATCTAAATCTGCAAATCATTTAAACGGTCTGTAATCAGTGTCTTACAGGAGGTATAATATGCCTTTAAAAAATTAAAAAGAAAAGCATCCAAACAAACTTGACCTAAAACACTAAAAGGAACCACTTAACGTCTAATGAAATGACTCCAGTCAGCGGCTACATCTCTGCGTTTCAGAAGTGCACTCTTATGCTGAACAACACCGGCTTTATGAAGCAGAACAAATGTTGTGGCATCTCCAAACTGATAATCTGTTATCCCGTGCCACCATTACATTCCGCCGAAGACAATCGCGTGTGTACGAGCAAGTGTTGTTTAAGTCACTTCGGCAACGATGGCATGAGCTAATTAAGTAAGCCACATCTTTAATGCCGTTTCCCTCAAAATCCTGACAGGTCTTTGTGAACAAGGCAGAGAGCAATTGAATGGACTCTGGGCACCGTGAATCGTTCTTCAGAGAGAGACTGAGTGTGTGTGTGTGTGTGTGTGTGTGTGTGTATAATTAGCCTCCCTCCCCTCCTACTTCAGCAGTCAATCTTTCAAAGCTTGTTTTTCTTCTGAGGAGACCCACCCTGTTGTTCTCTCTTCATCTGAATTCTTTACAGGAAACCCACCATGCCATCGCAGGGGTTTAAGAGGGTGGGCGACTCTTAAACTCCAGGAGGAGAGCGGTTTAAAGTGGAGGAGGGTGAGTTTACACTAGTTTAACGAGGGAGAATCACTTTTGACAAGTTGAAGGACAGATTCATTTACAGGGTCACTAACAGTGACATTTAATGCAGTGAAAATGTAGTTTGTGTGGCTTTCTTTTCTTAAGTAGAAAACAAAAGGAGATGTTTTGATGAATGATTACGCTGCTGTTTTCCTGTCAAACTCCCTAAATGATCATGAAGGAACCATAAAAGTGGGCCATACGATTTGTGCACTATTCAAAGTCCTTTGTAGACATGATTGATTTCCGTGAGGTACAGATAAAATCTGCATTAAGATGAACAGAGCCAGGTTTGACATCAATGACGATCAATTAAGAAAGTCAAGAACCAATGATGTTTGACTGACATGAAATCTAGCATGAGAAGTCTCAAAACATTTTGGTATTGTCCTCACACAAAACAAAACAAAACAAAAAACCAAAAACAAAATAAATAAATAAATAAATAAAAAAAGACCAAAAAACGT